AGGGAGGGAAAGGAAAAGATATCCTAGAAGAAAGCCTGGTATGATGGCACACATCTATAATCCCAGCACTCGGGAGGCTGAGGTGGGAATAGCACCATAAATTCGAGGCAAGCTGGGCTGCATAGCAAGACTATGTCTCAAACACACACACACACACACACACACACGGAATGTACTAGAAAAAGGGGATGGGCACAGCATACTACAGAAGCTGCCTAGGAAATCAAGCACAAATAAAAGGTAGGAATGGGCGAGAGAGAGCTCAGGAGAGTGCCTGCTCTGCCCGTCAGCTCCAAGCACAGTCATGTCCTCCATGCCATGACTACCCACATGAATCTGAAAACACACACATTCGTATTTTCATGAACACACATGGCCTTACCACAAGCTTTTGTTCTCTCAAATACTTAAGAATATCTCTTCATTCATTCCGCAAAATCTTTATCAAACACCCACCACTGCCTAGTACTATATTAGGTGCAGAGAATACAGACACATCCTGCCCTTTATCACAGACAAAGCACCTCTCTCAACAGATCACACACACAGACATTCACACACCACATCCACACAGGCACATCTGCCTCTGCCAGCTGTCTGACATCCATCTGCACCACACACACACACGTACACAGTAGGTCAGACACAGAGCCAACTCCCTCAGCTGACACAAACATTCATTTGACTCATATGTAGCATATCCATTTAATAGAACCATCCCTTTCACACACACACATACAACACATCTTCAACACACCCTGAATTTGGAAGCCTTATTTAGTTCCCTAGAGGCCTCTGTCCGATGAAGGCTCTCAGACTAGCCAAAGTGCCTCTGAATGCATTTCTCATATACCTAGGCCTCAGTGAGCCACAGTGACCATGTACCAGTTACTGTAACCACTCCATGGCTCAAATTTCCCCTCCACCAAATTAGGAAGCTGGGCACGGTGGTGTAGGCCTTTAATCCCAGCACTTGGGAAGCAGAGGCAAGTGGATCTCTGTGAAATAGAGGCCAGTCTGGTCCAGGCCAGCCAGGAATGCATGATGAGACCCTGTCTCAAAAAATAATGTTTTTAATTAAAAATTAAGAAGATGGTTCACCCTGTTTTCTTAGGAAGGCTGAGTGGGAAGGAGTCATATGAAATAAAGAATAAGGTAAGCCCCTGGAAAATTCCTCACAATATCCAGTGTCTTTCTGAGATCTATCTAAACATGTGTACATGGGAACCTGACATGGGCACACACCCTTCCAACTGTGCGTGACTCACTTCACTGGGCACTGGGTTCCTGTTGAAAGGCAACTCCTACTCAAACAGACCCATTCACACATGCATACCCAGTCCACACTGACAGACTGCCAGGCCTCCTTCACAATTTGGGGGGCACCTGAGCTTCCTAGAGAACAGGTGAGAAGGTGTCATGTTAACTCAGTTGGACAGTTCCTGAAGGTGTGTCCCAGAAAACAACTGCACAAAAACAATACAAAACTCCACTTTATGTTTTTATGTTTGTTTGCTTGCTTTTTATTTTGTGTTGTGATAGGGTCTCATGTAGCTCAGGCTGGCCTCAAACTCCTGATCCTCCTGCCTCTACCTCCCAAGTGCTGGGATCACACAATTGCACCACCATGCCTGGTTCCTTCCTATTCACCTAGCATGGCTACACAAACAAGATCAAAACTCTGTCCAAAGAACATATTTTCTATATCCAGGGCCAAATTTGCAGATCTGACCACACTAGTTTGTGGGCACACACTCACTCAAAGACTCTACCTCTTAGAAGGTACACACATGAACATGCATGCACATGCACACACACACAACTGTAATGCAGTCCCTGACTTCTACAAGTATTGAAAACAGAAAAGAAAGTTTGACTGTGCACACCTGCTGGAAAAAGAGCAGTCACCCAATCACCAAATCCATCCCCTGACCGCTCAGCCAAAGTGCAAGCAGCTCCTCCCCTCGCCCATTGAAACACAGCCTAGCTGGGGCTCAGTCCAACTTCCTTGCTCATGCACTTCACTGGCCCCAGACAGCCTTTTACAACTGAGGTGCTGGCAGAGGCCCCCACATCTCCCTCCCCAGTCCCCATTCCCAATTCCTTCCCACCTTCCAGAGTGTCAGCAAGCCTTGTCTAGCCCAGGAATCTCCATCCCAACCCTAAGCTCAAAAGGGCTCCTGAGTGAAGCGCAAGCCTCCCCGCCCAGTCTCACACTGGGAAGAGGCTGCCTGCCATCCTAGCCCTTCACCCCAAAGGTCAACTCCTTGTCAGGGGCCCCAGCCTCCTCCTCTCGAAGATTCTGTGACAGAAAAGAAACTTTATTGCGGTCCTCTGGCCACTTCAGTCACAGCTTCACAGACCCCCATCTCATTCTCCATCCTCTGATCCTAGGTCCATCCTCTGCCCTGACCTTCACAGGCCATGGATGGTGCCAGCAGTCCCAGCCCCCTTGGAGGCCCCGCCCACACAAGTCCCACTCAGCCACCCTGACCCCTGCCACTGCAAAAGTACATCATACAACCCTTACAGAAGTCACACAAGCGCCCCCCCCTTACAGGCCCCACTCTTGCCCCAAAGTCCCTCCTACAAAGGATCCACCCACTGCTTGTGGGGGTCCCGTCCACAAGGCCTCCCCAGCCTCTCTACAGATCCCTTCAGAGCCAATCCCAGATTTGACCTTACAGGTCACCCACAGTGACCAGGAGTATCCTGGCCACGCCCTCTGCCACGCCCGCCCCACGGATCTCCCCGCCCACTAGTGAGCCTGGCTCTCCCTGGGCTCAGGCAGCCACCCGGGCCCCTACTGGCAACCACCGAGCGCGCTCCCTGGGGCCTCCAGCCCCCGCCGGCCCACGAACACCCTCAGGCCCTCACTCCCGCGCGAGGCCTCGAACCCCTGCTCACCTTCGCTGCAGAACTTGCCGCCGAAGCCCGTGTGGCTGCAGTCGCAGCCCACCTCGCCCGGGGCCAGCACGGTGCAGAGGCCGCCGTTGGCGCAGGGGTTGCGCGCGGGCGCGCACAGGGGGTCGGCTGCGGCTCCGCGCAGACCCTGGCTGCCCAGTAGCGCCGGGGGCCGCTCGCCCAGCTTCAGGTTGGCCAGGAGGCCGCGGAAGGGCGGCTCGTACTTGACGGTGCTGAGCGTGAGCGCGGACAGGCGCACGTCGGGTGGGATGCCGCCCACGAACAGATCGCTGGCTACCTGCATCTCGCGCCGCTTGGAGCGCACCTCGGCTGCGCGGGCCTCGCCGTCCACCGCCAGCGCCGTGCGCCTCGCGTCGCGGGTCAGCAGCACCATGTGCCAGCGGTCGTCGGCCACCGGCGTGTCCAGCTGCAGCGTGGCGGGCTCGGCGCACGACAGCGTGAAGCGCAGGCGCAGACGGCCGTCCAGCAGCAGCAGCTCCAGGAAGTCGCAGTCGCCGCCGTCGTCCAGGTAGAGCAGCAGCGCGCGCGTGGCGTTGGTGCGCAGGCTGAAGCTGAGCTCGCCGCTGCTGGCCGCGCCCGCCCAGCGTGCGTAACGCGCCCACTGCCCAGGGCCACCGCCGAACTCCAGCCCGCGCGCTCCGGCCGCCAGCGCCAGCAGCAGCAGTAGCAGCGGCAGCCGCAGAGGCGGCGATGGCGATGGCAGCTGGGGTGGCGGCGGCCCCCGGCCCCGCTCGGGCTTCAGAGCCGCGGGAGCATGGGGCGGGGAGGGGGCCGGGCGCCCCTCGCGTGGAGCGGGGCTCCCTCGCCGGATCACGGTGCCATGGGCCCGGCTGCGGGGCGAGGCGCGCAGGGACCCACGTGCCGACTCTCCCCCTGCGGCGGCGGCGGAGCCCCTCCCCCGCTGCAGGCTGGGATGGAAGGTGGGGGAAGGACACCTGCGGGGAGACAAAAAAGGAAAGGGTTAATGGGGGACTCGGAGGAAGGGGCCTGTCGGTGTCTATCCCCTCCCCCCTAAATCTAACTGATGACTACCTGCTTCCTTTTAGCACTTTTAGTCCCCTGTTGTTTTTTTTTTTTTTTTTTTTTTTGAGACAAGGTCTCACTATGTAGCCCTGGCTGACCTGGAACTTGCTATGTGGACCAGGCTGGCCTCGACTCTCACAGAGATCTGCTTGCCTCTGCCTCCTCTCCAGAGCTGGTATTAAAGGCGAGCACCGCCACGCCCCGCCTCAGCACTTTTTGCTTTGTTTTGCTTGAGACAGTCTCAAGTAGCCCAGGCTGGCCCCGGAACTCGCTATATATAGCCCAAGTTGACCTTGAGCTCCTGAGAGCCTCGCGCCTCCATCTCTTCTCCAGCGCTGGGACTGCAGCCCTGCGCCCCCATAGCCTTTAGAACTTGACCTGCAGAGGTTCTCCAAGCAAGAAACCCCATCACAGACTCAAGTACTAGGCGGCTCACTTGAGGAAGAGGTGGCACTTATTGGCACATTATAGGTTTGAGATGTGAACAGGTGTGGAGGTGACACCATAGAGCTGGAGCATGGATCCAATGGCGCAGTCCTCACCCGAACCCTCTCAAAAGGCCAGGGGTCAGGACCAAGGCCAGTTCCTGGGGGTGGGGCCAAGGGGCTCTCCTCCAGATGCTAAACCCAGCCCCTTCTCCAAGCCTTGCCACCACTTCCATCCAGGGATCAGTCTCTCTCATCAGCTCTCGATGCTGGATAATGAAGTTGCTAAATAATTCATCGGGATTAATTAAATGCCAATTCGTCAACGGTATCACAGGGTTATGGGGGGGGAGCTAGCCAGGACCCAGATATCCTGATCCCACCCTCTCTCCATCCATTCATAGGCAAAGACATCCAATTCTGGGCCTCCAATTCTCTTTAAACCACACTAGGCACTTTGTGGACCCCAGCCTCACTGTTCACTTGCCCAGGTCCTTCTGAGGCAGGTGTGAGTCACCCTCAGCCTCCAGCTCCGGGTCCTCAGCCGCAGGCCTGGCCTCAGTACCTGGGCTCTTTTCAACACTCAGCTCTTCCAGGCCCCCCACCCAGAGCTGGGGGGTGGGGGGAGCTACCAGGAGGCAGGCAGACTCATTTGCATAAAATTGCCTTTCTGAAATGATTACCCTTGTAACGGGCTGTCAGAGAGCAATTTATACCCCACGACAGGGAGGGGAATTTGCATCTCGTTAAACTCCGAGTCGTAATTATTTATATCCAACAACCCTCCTGAATATTGCATTGATTTTATTTTGGGGAGGGAGGGAGGGAAGGAAGGAGAGAGGCCTGGGAAAGAAGCAGGGAGGGGCCAGGATTTAGGAGGAGATGAGGCAGGTGTGGGGTAGAAAGAGGAAGGTGAGGAGCCCATGAAAAGTGGAGATGAGAGTACTGAAAGATAAAGAGATTAAGGGGGCCTGATGGGGAGATAAGAAATGCGGCTGAGAAAATTAAATTCCAAATTCAAACAGCATTTGTCAAGGCCCTGGATCCTGGGCGTTTTTACAAATGTCATTTTATTTAATCACTCAGAGAAGTTCCATTGTTGCCTTCACCCTTGGGGAAACCCATGTAGAAAAGTTGAGAGACTTGCCCAAGGTCACACCCACAGTCAAACTGCCTTAGATCCAACTCTGTCCAACTCCAGTGTGCTCAGGAAGGAAGGGCAAAGAGCAAGGCAGCCAGCCACAGGTGAGCTCCCAAGGTGAGGGCCCAAAAGAGAAGGGGCTGGCTTAGTCCATAGGGTGAGAACCAGGGAGCTACAAGGGAGGATGCTGAGCTTTAAAAAGCAGCTAGGACTGCAAGAAAGAGCCATAGGGAGGGATGCACAGAGAGTGACGGGGGGCAGGGCAGCTGCAGTGACCCATGTGCAAAAGAAAGATGGGCAGAGAGAGTTCAGGAAGCCCTCCATAGTGGCTGGAGAGACATCTCAAACTCAGCTGCAAAACCAGTCCCCCCTTGGCTCCTTCACCCCGCTTCTGACTGCTGCCCACTCTAGTCCTAAAGGCTCCTGTGGTTAGAGGCAGTAAGTATCCTGACCCAGCATCCCTCTACAGACTGCCCGTTCCCAGTCAGGGGGAGGCTAGCCAGGCCAGCAGCCCCCATTTCCCTGCAAACATTGTCGGTTATATATAGCGTGCCACTGCCTCTTCTCATTGGGTAATGGAGATAATTAGCATGCGCGGGCTAATTAGCCAATCAAATTAAATGCAGCACCTGCTCCCAGCCTGATTGACGCCCTTACCCCCCCCCCAATAGACACATACATGCACCCCCAGTCCAGGGCAAAGGAAAGGGACCCTGAGGTTGGGGAACCTGAAAGGCCAAAGATCCTGTTCTCCAGGAGGGACAGCCAGAGACCTCCAGGAGAGGCCCAGCCCTGGTGTCCAGCAGAGTGGCCACCTTCCCTTCTTCCCCCCTCCTCTGCCAGGGTCTCAGTCTGGCCCAGCCTTGGCTCTGTCTGCCTCTCTCCCAACCCCCATCCCCACCTCCGGACACTATTTTGGGGAGGGAATTAATTAGCTATCGATTTCCACTGGCAGAGGGAACTGAGATTGTGTGCTGCTGTCCACTCACCACCATCCCCAGCCTGGGGGAGAGGGTCCTTTCCTCTGCCCCACCCCTACCCCAGTCCCCAATCATGCTCACAGCCCCCCTTCAAGGAAACAGCAGAGGAGAAAACCTGGGGACAGGGTCTTAGTCTGTCCAGTGGGTTCGATGTGTTGGAGGTGGATGGACAGATAGAGTGGAGGTAGATGGGGAGGACTCCAGAGGCCACTAGGTAGGAGCCTGGGGCCTGAGAGACAGAGAGAGGTTATCTGGTTGGAAAGTGGGGTGCAGAGTGGGCGAGGGGCCAGAAGGGGGTGACTCTGCTAGTCTGCGTGTGGAGGAAGAGAGGATGGCAGGTGCAGGCATCTGCCTGTAGGCAGCTGTGGGGGCAGAGGCTGAATTTTTGCAGCAGTGTCTCTGGGGACTGTGAGGGAAGGTCTGGCCTGTAGCCCCCCTGGGCTCATTGCTCATTCTTCCCACAGCTCTGCAGCACAGGCCTCCTGACTCCGTACTAGGGTCAACCAAAAGGAAGCCCAGCCCTCCCAGAGTCCTCTCTCTGGGGACCCAGGGACCCTTGGGGCAGCTTCATGCTTCATGTGAGAAGGAACAGCCCCAAGGGACGCAAGCAGACACCTGGGTCCTTTGCACCCCACCTCACCCTGACAGTGCTGGGGACACCTGCTGCTCCAGGTCACTCCCCTCAACCTCTCCTCCAGGGCTTCTGCTGGCCCACCCTCCAACCACCCTTGCTCCACACATAGGGAGGTTCCTGCTGGCCTAGGATTTGCTAGCCTTCCTCAGGCCACAGTAGCAACCCCAACTCCAGGGACCTACTCCCAGTGGGCCAAGGCCACTGTGTCTCGCACAACTACATTAAGGTAAGGGCGTTCAGGGATCTGTAAAAGGTGGGGCCCCTCTCCTGGGCTTTGTATCCAGTGTCCAGGCACTGTCTCCCAAGACCCACACTTCTAGTGTCCACTGCCAGTCAAGGGACACTGACCAGAGTAGCCCTGAGGTTTCCTGCCTGCTCATGGATATCAATGCAGTATACACTGCCAGCCCCTGCTGGACACTGGACACTGATCCTAGGGAATTGACCTTTCCCATAGTATCACAGGATTCAGCACTCTAGCACCCCCTACCCAGGGACAGATCCAGACAAGTGGTACTGTGCAGGAGGAGCTAGGGTGGGGTGACTAGGCTGCCCTTGTGGCCTCTGTCTACTGTCACCCTCTCCTGCTGACAGCACACCTTGGTCCTCCTGCGCACACAGCCTCCCCATCTTCCTGTGGGGCTCATGCCACCAGGCTCATGCCACCGTGGCATGTGGAGCTGAAACTTCCAAGTCCCCCACTTTGTCTGGTGTGAGGCTAGACCCTGGTAGGTGCCATCTTATTTATTTCCCAGGTCCTAAGCAGTAGTGTCATCATCCAGTCTCACAAACAACTGAGCCTGGGAGGACAGTCTCTGGCACAGAGGTACAACCTACCAGCCCCACACTCAATGATGTTCTTCAACCCTGTACTGCCCATAGGTCACAGGGCAGTGTCTTAGGGTCCAAGCCCACCTGCCTTTATTCTGGCCTTCATGGTAGACAGACTCCAAGTTCAACATAAGACACAGCCATACATGGGGTTCATTCAATCCCCTCATTTCTTAAGGTGGAAACTAATTATAGACAGGGGCAGAGACTGCCCAGGGTCAAGGTAGAAGAGCAAGACTGGAACTAAGGTCACTAGCCTTTTATTCTAGACACTTCCACTGGACTCACTGATCCAAACCTGGGCATCCATGTCCATCTAGACAGAAGCCCTGGCCAGCGGCCTTCTCCCAGCATCCATTCAGCTGCCTGTTGGGCCACCCTCCCCTGCTACACACACATCTTCAGCCATGGGAATGTCAGCCTCTCTCTGGCTCTCATGACAGCTGGGAGTAAGACAGCAGGGGCCTCCCCCAGGCACCAGGAGGAAGAGCTGGGTTTACACACATTCTGGTAGCCCCAGAAGGCAGCCTGTGGACAGGTGGGAGAGGAGCATGTTATGGAAGGGTGTTGGACTGAATTTGGCTCGAGCCAAAGAGATACTTGCTGGCAGTCCAAGCCATGCAATGGTGGAGTAGGCTGCCTCGGGGTGAGTGGGGGAATGAGTTCCCTGTCTGTGGAGGTGTACAAGCTGAGGAGGGATGACTGCTATTCAGAGACACCGCAGAGTGCTGGAGGCTTCTGAATCATAATGAGGGGACATCAGGCTGTTTGACCCAAGGTCCCCTTAGGTTCACAATGGCTCCTGAGAACACTCTCTGGTCTCTTTCCAATCCTAATTACCTAGCAGAGACAAGGGAGGGACCCAGGCAGGTAAGCATCCAGCCACCGCCTCAAAGCAGGCCCAAAGAGTGGTGGTTAGAGCCCAGACGGAGCACAGCTTCCAAAGCCAGCTATACCTCCATCTACCTGTGTGACCTTTGGCAAATTGCTGAGCTTCTCTGTGCTTCCATTTCTTTAGGGCTAAGAAAAGTGTGGTCGGCATTAGAATATGTATAAAATAGTGCAGAGATTTCTACGGCATGGAATAGTATGTGTTGTGTTAATGATCCCTTCTAGAACTTCTCAGCCTTTTACAGCTTGCAACTGTGTCTAGTGTTTACTTGAATCCTTGCCAGGGCTTCACAAAGAGAATTCCTCACAAGGGGAATAAGTAAAGCTGATCCCCTTCTACAGGAGCCACTGACACGCAGGAGAGAAGGGGCCACACAAGGTCACACTGCTCCTAAGTGGCAGAGATGAGACTCTCTCTAGTTTGGGTCTGTCTAACCAATGGGTCCATCTCCATTCTCCTGGGTACCTCATCCTGCCTGGGAAGGTGAGAGGAGGGACAAAGAGACCCAAGGACAGGTGACAGGAGTGCCAGCATATTTGTGGGTCTCCCAAGCTGGTCTCTGTATGCCTGGAGAAAAACAGCCAGGGGCTGAGGATAAGAGCGACAGCCCAAGTGTGTGTGACGAAGCTGTTGCTGGGTGTGTGGGACTGAGGCAGTGGGTGGGCTGGGGACCGAGGTGTGAAGGAATGACTTAGTGGAGTGGGGGCCGGAACACAGGTGCACAGAACCTTGGGGGTGGGCAGTGGGATGGGTGAGCACACGGAGCATCCCTGCGTCGTGCACAGCTGGGGCACATTGACCTGGGTGGGTGCACCCCAGTGATGCAGAGGGGACAGATGGTTACCAGGGGTAGCCTCATGAGTAAGCCTGAAGTGCTTGAAAAGGCTCATGAAGGTATCCACGGTAGGTGCATGTGTATGTGCATGTGTGTGTAGGAAAGGATCTAATAATGATCAAAATACCTGCTACTGGGCTGGCAAGATGGCACAGTGGGTAAGGGTGCTTGTAGCCAAGCCTGACTACTTCTATCTCCAGAATAGACATGGAAGGAGAGAACTGACCCCCACAAGATGTCCTGTGGGCTGTGTGGCACACTCACACACATTAAATAAATAGATAAATAAGTGTTTTAATATCTGCTGCTGAGTGGGAGCTGTTCATGTACCTGACAGACGTTAGATGAAAAAGTTCACAGAGTCAGGCACACAGTAGGTGCACACTAAATACAGTTACTGCTACTATAATTATAGCACTATAACCATCTCATCCAGTCTTCGAGAGATCCCCATGACATGGTATGAGAATGCCTGTTTTACAGGTGAGGAAACTGAGGCTCACTGAGGGGCAGAGGCTTTACCCTCCTCCATCCACATTGAATGGTGACAGTGATGGAAAAACAGCTCTGAAAATGACAGTAAGGTGTGTACTAGATGACTGAATGAGTCTCAGGAAGTCCACAGGGCTGTCAGTGTGGAAGAAGCCGGGACAAAGAGAACTGCACCAACAACAGATGGAGCCACAAGGTGGGTGGTGTGTGAGGACACACTTCCGGTAGTCCCCATGGGGGCTGAACGGGAGCTAGAAATGAATGGACACTGTGTCTCCAGCACCAGGCAGGCAGGCAGCGGGATCTGTGTAGGGGATGGAAGCTGGGGTGGGGCTCAAGTTTCTGCCAAAGGCCAGGTGCGGCTAAGGGCTAGGATAGCCCGTGGTCATTGAAAGGGAGGAGCCTGGGGCTTGACATAAGAAAGTGACAGAACAGGCTTGGGTGAGAGAGTCTTGGGGAACAAGTCAGGGCATAAAGGATGTATTCAGATGCACACACAGAGACCTGGGGCAAAATGCCTAAGACTCAAATGTGCACAGAGTACATGTGATGTGCTAGGCAGAGGCTGGTGTGTCTGGAAAGGTGTACTTGTGTGGGCGTGTGGAACTGGAAGGGAAGGGTGTGTAAGGTTGGAGGGCAAGTGGGCCTGGGATGTCAGCTTGGGTTGATGAAAGGTGATAGGTGCTCTGAAGGTGAGGGATGGCATCATCAGGGGACCCGGGGGCATGAAGAGGCCTTATGTGTGTCATGTAAGGCAGGGCTCCTGGTGGAGGTCTCTGAGGTGGGTGGGAGGTGGCAGTCTCTCTGGGTGGGGAGTGTGGGCGGTGTGCTGCCAGGAGTTGTATTGTATACGCAGGTGTGTGTGTGTCTGTGTACAAGTGTGTCTGGGTAGGTGTCACCGAGTGTGTGGATCAGTGTCAGGGAGTCTGTGTCATTAGCAAGAATGGGCAGGGCAGAGCAGCCGGACCTCAGTCAAGATTGAACTTTGAAGCAGGGAGGTCCCCAACAGCTATCCCAGAGCCCTGGTCCTTTTCTCTCAGGAGCTTCAACTCCTCGTGGATTCAACCCTGGCCATGCAAGTAACAACTCCCTGTAGCTATTGCCTGGCGGTCAGTCCTGCCTTCCCCTACGTGCTGAGCTTGGGATGGGTCTGAGCACGTTTCCCTTAGCAGGAACCTCCCAGCCAGACCCTTCTCCCTTGGCCACAAAAGGATGTGTGGTCCAAGCTCCAATGCTCTCATCCCTCAACCATCCATGGAAGCAGGAGCTGGGAACCCGAGGAGCTAACGCACCCACAAAACAGAAGGCCCTACATGTAGTTAACTGATGGGCTGATCTCCCTCCTCTCTTCTCTAGCAGAAGACAGAGTATATAAAGCCCTCCCCCAGAAGGAACGCCCAGACGCTGGGAAGGTGGGCAAGAGGGAGAGGCAGGAATGAATGGAAGGTCCTCAACCACCCGCAACACATGCAAATCCAGGTATCAGGGAGGCCCCAAAGCAGTCAAGAAGGCTGGACATCCAAGACCCACCCCCTCAGATTCACTTGAGCACTCCAGGGCTGGACAGTGCCCCCGATTCACCCACCCCAGCACCAAGAAACAGTCACTCCCAGATCTTGCTGGTTCACCTAGACCCCAAATGCCTCTCCTAAGACTCAAGAGGGGGTGACAGTGAAGGAGACAACAGTCCCCCACAAGCCAATTTTGCCTCGAGCCCACCAAGGGTCCCTAGGTTCATATTGCAGCCCTAAGAACCCAGAGCACACTGCTTCTTCCTCCAGGGGAGAAGGCTGGACATGGGAAATAGTGCTGTCCTCTTTGGGGTTGGGGAGTGATCCCAGGTCCCTAAAGCTCCCTCCCCCCCCCATAGCACTCTCTGACCAGAGCCCTGTCTCTGCCACCATCAGTTTCCCACCCAGGCAGAGCCCCCTCCTACAGTTTCCCAGTCTTCCTCTCTGTCACCCCAGCCTTCCCCCGCAAGCTTTGCTCCTCTCCCTGAGGCCCCCATCTTGCCCAGATCTTCCCCATCACAGACCCATCTCTGCTCAGTACCTAGGCATCTTCCCCCTCTGCTTGCTCCAGATAACCTCCTCTCCCCTTGGCTCCCATCCCCCCAGTAGAGCAGTTCCTCAGTGGTTGCCCCCAGACCAAGCCTCTGGCCCTTACCCCCTTGTTCTTTGCTTCTCAAGCCTCCCTCCAGCCTCTTCCTCTCCCACGAAGCCCAAGGTTTCTCCCCTGCAGACCCTTCAGACCACAACAGCTCACAGCCTGCTTCCAGCTGCCAAAGCCAGCACAGACTGGGGACCCCCCCTTCAGAACCTGTCTCATCGCCTTCTGAATGCCCCTCCTCTCTTCATCCCTCCCCCTCAACGACCCTCCCTCACCCCCTCTCTTTGCCCCAGCTCAGGCCCAATGCCCCTTCCCAGGAAGCCTCCGGCCCCTCAATGCCCCCCAGTAGCTTCGTCTCCTCACTGTCACCCAGCCAAACCTTTCTGCTCGGTGCCCCAGTTTTCCCCTCCCCCCGATCGGCTCCCGCCCCCCACTCGTCTCCGCCGCAGCCCTCCCTCCCGTACCTGGTTCTGGGGGCGCCAGGGGCTGGAGGGTGGGGATCCGAGCCCCCGAGACCTCCCGGGCTCTAGCAGGTGACAGATCCGGGGCTAGCAGTATCGGCCGCCTCGCACCTCTCGGTCTCCGCCGCGTCCCCGCCCGCCCCGCCGCGGTGCCTCTCCGAGGAGGATGCTCCTAGAGTCAGGGCGGCTGCTCCCGCCGCCGCATCCCTGCAACACCGACTGACGGCAGCATCAGCACCAGGGCCCGCCCCCTGGGCACACGCATTGGGCCATGCTGCGCTAACGGACGAGCGACGCGACCAATGGGAAGGCGTAGAAGCCGCCAGTCCCGCGGCTCCACAGGCCCACCTCCCTCCTCCGCGGGGGACCCAGGCGTCCCGGCCCCGGGGCATCCGAGCTCCTCCCCGCCGCTCCAGCACCTTTGCCGAGACCCCGGGACCCACACCCGCAGGTCCCCTTTCCAGCCTCAGTGTCTTGAGAATCCAGACGCCCCAGCCCTTCTCCCACGAGTCGCGCCCTGGGATCCCACACCCACCCACCCACCTCTGCCAGTGGGTCCGCATGACGGTGCCCAGGGTTGGGACCAACCAGAGGGAGAGGACTGAACCCGGACTTGGGGTACCGAGGGAGCAGGACCCGAGCGGGCCGCAGCGCCCTCTGCTGGCTGCATCCAAGGGCGGGCCCGGACTAGGGGAGGGGGACCCCGACTGCTGATGGCTTTTCCCAGCTTGTCGCATCAGCACCAGGGCCCTGCCCTTCCCTGTCCGGGCACTTTTTAAGATGGTAGCCCCCAGAATTGAGGAGCGAGAGGATAAGGACGAAGTTGGTGGGGGAGGGAAAAGCTGAAGTAGAGATAGAGTAGAAATAGGGGTTTGGGGTTCCCCATCCCAGTCTCCTGGGGATCCCAGAGTTTGGAGCCAGTTTCCCAACCAGCCAGGAAGGCTGCGCAAAGGTAGAAGGTTAAGGGCGGGGTTACGGCTGCTCACGCCTCGGCTGCTCACGCCTCCTTAGGGAGCCTGAGGCTGGCTTCCACACCCTTCTCTGTATTAGAGCCCCCAACTGTGAGTTTCAGAGTGAGTGCAGTCCTGGGGTGCAGGACTTCCCAGGTAAGGACGTCACTCACTCAGCCGAGAAAAGGATCTTCCAGCACCTAGTGTGTATATCATTAGTGAAGTTGGACATCCAGCTCCTCAATGAGGCAGTGTGTGCCGGTGTGGGTGTGGCTGTGGGTGTTTGGCAGACCGTTTTGCCAGCTCCCTTCAGGCCCCTGATTTCTGCTACTGGGCCTGTGATCTGCACAGCTGGTGGCAGTTGGCAATTCCTTAGCCAGAGGCAATATTCATGAACAACGTCCAATCACTAATGTATGCAGATACACATGGGGGCACACCTATCCGTGTGTGCCTGGCGTTTCAAAAAGACACAAAGGGACACTGCAGAGATGCCCCACCATGGTAGGACACCCCAGGAAACACACACTCGCTCAAGAATATGCACACAGGTACCTGCACAATCAAAGGCAAATGCCATGTCCAGGGAACAAGTGGGCACAGAGGACCTGCCCATGGGGTCACCCTGACCCCTGGAAGGCATTTTTCAGGGTGGTCAATTCCTGAGTGGGTGGATGTGGGCGTCCTCCAAGAGAGGGCCCCCTTCTACAACTTAGGGGCAAGGAAGGGACCCTGCTGCAGAGGGTGATTCGCCAGGGGTGGGAAAGGAGATCCTTGAGCAAGGTCCCACATTTGGGGCCTACTCTGACCTTGGGGAGACCCTCGCACTGCCCCCTTACCAAAGCCACTGGAGTAGGCAGAGAGTGCAAACTGCTGAGTCAGGGATGCAAAATCGCCTCTTTGACCCCACAGCCCACTGCCCCAACCAGCCCCCATTGCCCCTCCTCCTGCAGGCTGGGCACACACACACCAAAATGCAGAGGGACAGACAGGCAGTGACCCGATGACAACTCTCAGACCCTGCAAGTCTGCATAGAGAAAGAGGTGAGGGTAAGTGTTTGTTTCCTGTCCCCATCCTTCAGTTCATCCATCAAGGGCAGAAAAGGTCACCTGGTGCATAGTACTCCTCCCTGCCCCTCCCCGGATGTTTCTCAGTAAGGTCCCACATCCGACCTGATGTTGTAGGTCCCCACCACTTCTAGACACACCCCCAAACACAGAGGCTTCCACCCAATGTGGGCACTAGCGGGAAGGACTGAGCACACACTCTTTGGGTGCACAGGCCAGTACGGACACACGGGGAGGAAAAACCCTGCAAAAACAGTGTGCATGTCAGGCACACATGCACAGGCGCACATACACCATGTGAATCTCAGATATCAAATTCTGACACATAGGAACAACCGTGGAAAGACAGGCACACGTCATATCCCGGGCGGGGCAGAGCTGAGCACTGGGCGGCCTACACACACAACACCCTGGGAAGAGGCCAGGCCCAGGCTGCTGCGGGGTGGGCAGGGGAGCCGACCAGGCTGCAGGGATGGAGGCAGCGCAGGAGGCGGATGGCGCAGGAGCAGGCTGCTCTTCACAACACAATCGCTGTCTGTTGTTATAGCAACTCAGCCCCCAAATCATGAAACGGATATTACAGCCTGGAGAGAAGGAAGGGCAGGAGGGGACTGAGGACAGGAGAGGCAGTGCAGGGGACTCAGTGAGGGACAGGGCTGTAGCCGAGCCTGGTGACAGGGAAGGAGGAGTGACTCAAAATAAGGGTTTGGAGGCCAGAAGTGGAGTGGAAAAGGTAGAGATGGACAGGAAGAGGGGGGCTCTGGGGGAAGCTGAGGCCACCAACAGGTCTGCAGACAGGGTGCTATGTAGGTAGGGAGCTGAGGTACTCCCTCTCTACCCTCAGAACAATCCAGCAGCTGCTTCCGTAGAGCAACCCCCCTCCAGTTTTGGGGGTGTTGGGGAGGTAGCGCCAGTTTTCAGGACTGCTGTATGGAGCCTTCTGACCCCAGGGGCAGCCTGGTCAGAGTCTAGAATCTCAAGGGAAGACTGCGCCGACCACCCTGTCAGCCCTGACCAGGCTCAGCAGTGGCCTGGCCTTCCTCAGTGATGACACCCACCCACCCCCAAGCCCTCAGCGCTGCCAGCTCAGGGGGGAAGACCAAGCTGACTTAGGAGAGGCCTCCGGAGCTCAGCAGGATCAATATGCATTTCCTCTGGAAGTCACTGTCCTTCCGGCTGGCAACAGGAGGTAACATGACCAAGGAACTCAGCCCCCCACCCTGAGGCCCACCAGCCTCTGCCTCCTCCCACTGTCCGCACGCCTCCTCACGCCCAGCTCTGCCTCCACAGCCAGTGCCCTGCCCTGGGCTGCCCTCTTCGTCCTCCCGGGAGCACCGCACCACTGGAGCATTCAAGCAAGGGCTGAGAGACTGCCTGGCAGGCAAGGGACTTTTGTTAAGGGGCCAAAGACTCCAGTGACACTAGGCCCAGCAAAGTCTAGGGTACAAAGATGCATTAGGGTAAAGGCTCAGATCCCCAGGATTCTAGACAACTTCCATTTTCTAGACCCTTCCAAAGACTCCTGTTTTCCAAGGTGTTCTGCTTCTGAGGCCCCCATCCCACCAGGTTCCAGATGCACAAGAGTTCCGACCCATCCACCAACCCATCCACCTACAGAATTACTAGATTCCCAACAGCATAGTAATCCCTAGAAGTACAGTGCCCGAGGAGTCTAGGCTGATGGTCCAGGTTAATTACACGGGCCTTTTTATTCCATCTGGAAAATACAAATATTCACAAGATTCTGTACAACCTTAGGGATGCCAGCCCTGGCCCTGACTTCAGTGCATGCCACCCTCTCCTCCCACCCCCAGCCCCAGCCTCCTGCCCCAGAACCCCAGGCTCCCTGCTCTGCTCCAAGTCTTTCCTCCAAGGCAGGAATGAGTCCTTGATAGTCGCAGCTGGGAAGAGAAAAACAGAGATTGTGAGGAAAACAAACGGCCTCCATCAAAGATAGACCACCATTTCTTGACATCCCCCCCACAAGCCACCCCAGCCCTCTGTGGGGGACTCTCCTGGCAGGGAGAACTCACTAAGTAGCCCTGGCTATGTAGACAAGGCTGACCTGGGACTCACAGAGATTCACCTGCCTCTGCTGGGATTAAAGACATGTACCACCCCACACACAGCCAAGACTCACCATCTTATAAGTGGATGTCAAACACTCCGTCCTCCACCACCTGCACCTCCTCTTCTCGGATCTCTGCAGGGAGGGGAGGGAGGGTTGTCACCAAAACCACCCCTGGGTCCCTGTGACCTCATCAGCCCTCCCTCATCACAGGAGGCCCTCATCCTCCCAAAAAAAAAAAAAAAAAATCAATTCTCAGAATGACCAAACGACCCCATTCTTGAGGCTTCTTCTACTTTTTCATTTTGCCACAGCTCTTTCTACAGCCACAGCTTTGTGGGCAGTTTGCTTAAACGTCAATTCTGTGTATACTGCAGAGTCTAGACCCCTCACTTCTGGAAGACTCAACAGCTTTATCTTTTCTATTTTTGACGACTTATGCCAACCCAAATGATTGTGGTCAAATTGCCTTAGACCTCAGCTTAACTTATTCTTCAGACTGTTCTCAGCAAAATAATCATTTGGTGGATAGTTATTCAGCAAACGGGTCAAAAAGCATTGGACACCCCAAGACAACCACTACGAGGTTATGTAGGCAAGGGACTTTTTTCATGGCTGCTGAAATGGGAAATGCAATATGGCTGACATAACTCCTCCAATCCCCTAACAACACGAAGGCTGCTCTACCTTCCTAGAGGTCTTCTCACCTGGAGGCCGGGAGCTGCGCCTGCCTGGGCGAGGCAGGGAGAAGCTGAAGGCCCGATGGTGGGTATGTGTGGGTGAGGGAGAGGGCACTGACCCCTCCAGGCTCACACTCTGGGCCCTCCTACGGCACTCCACTGAGAGGCGGTCTTTGCACTGCTTGTGACAGTTGACACCACACGCTGAGGGAGGAAAGAAGGGGAGCCCAGCCAGGGTCATGGTGAGAAAACCCTCTACCCCATCCTTCAGACCTTGGCTTCTCCCCAAAGTCCTTTGCACCTCAGAAGCCACCCCATCAATATAAGAGCCTCTTTCCAAAGTGCTCTCCATGTTAATTACCAGTCTATGCCATCTCCAGAGCTCTCTTTTCCTAGGCAGCTGCCTTACCAAAATAAAAGCCCTCTTAAAAGCTACCCTAGTAATCATCATAATGTTCTAGTTCCAATGCACTTCACTTCCCAGAAAATGCCCCATCAAAATAAAGATTCCCTACTCCAAAAATTATTTTCCCCCAAACCTCGGCCCAGCAGCTCAGCCATTCATTCCATCTTACCTCTGCATTTGAGGCCCTGCTTATAGATGCCCAGGATCTGCAATAGAGGAGGGGGCCATGCTGGGGGGTTAGGGTTTTAGAGGTGTTGAGTACCTCTTCCTTCCCGAGAATAGGGCCCGGGGCCTTACAGCCCGCCTCGGGTCTAGGAGCAGAAGAGCAATAGAACAGGCAGGTGGCATTAATGTTTAATGGAGTTTGATGGGGCTTCGGCAGGGGCGGGGCCAGCAGAAGGGCGGGGCGTGGGTGGGCGGCCCAGGGCTGGAGGAGAGGGTGGATTGGGCTGGTGGGCGAGGGGGGGGGGAGAGGGGGAAGCGGGGCGCTCACCAGAGCTTTACAATGGCGGCAAGCGACTGGGCGTAGAGAATTGCTCTCCTGGAAGTTGTGCACGAAGCCCATGCGGCCTCCCAGCACCGAGCTGGAGCGCAGGAAGTAGGAGACCATCTCTTCCCGGCTGATGCAGCCATCCCTGGTAGGCGTAGGGGAGCCTCAGCTCCGGTCCTCTCCGGGACCGCCCAGGGCCGGCCTCCCCACCCCACCCGACTGCTGCAGGGAAAGGTCTCCACCCAGCTCCAAACTTTGCAAGGAAGCCGAAAAAGCACCTGCCACTAACTAAAGGAGTCACTCTCCTACCCACCTAGCAGTTGGGGTGTCAGTTAAAAGGCTGGGCGCTCTCCCATGCTAGTCTCAGGTTCCCAAAGTGTCGGGGTGGCTGAGGACTGGGGCTCTGGAGAGACTGGGGCGGCTGGGCTGTCATCCGGGGTGTCCCCTAACACCCGTTCCTACACCCAACCCTTGCTTCTCAAGGGCCCCTTTCTTCCTGGGAGTTCATTTTAGGGGCTGAGGGAGCCTGTGTTGGGTATTAGTGTTTGAGGGGGTTGGTGGGGGCGGCGGCGGGGGGGGGGCCAGGAGAGGGGGGGGGGGGGGGGGGGGGCCCCGGGGCGGGAGGGGGGGGGGGATTGGGTGGGGGGGGGGGGGGGGGGGTAGAGGGGGAAGCGGGGCGCTCACCAGAGCTTTACAATGGCGGCAAGCGACTGGGCGTAGAGAATTGCTCTCCTGGAAGTTGTGCACGAAGCCCATGCGGCCTCCCAGCACCGAGCTGGAGCGCAGGAAGTAGGAGACCATCTCTTCCCGGCTGATGCAGCCATCCCTGGTAGGCGTAGGGGAGCCTCAGCTCCGGTCCTCTCCGGGACCGCCCAGGGCCGGCCTCCCCACCCCACCCGACTGCTGCAGGGAAAGGTCTCCACCCAGCTCCAAACTTTGCAAGGAAGCCGAAAAAGCACCTGCCACTAACTAAAGGAGTCACTCTCCTACCCACCTAGCAGTTGGGGTGTCAGTTAAAAGGCTGGGCGCTCTCCCATGCTAGTCTCAGGTTCCCAAAGTGTCGGGGTGGCTGAGGACTGGGGCTCTGGAGAGACTGGGGCGGCTGGGCTGTCATCCGGGGTGTCCCCTAACACCCGTTCCTACACCCAACCCTTGCTTCTCAAGGGCCCCTTTCTTCCTGGGAGTTCATTTTAGGGGCTGAGGGAGCCTGTGTTCGGGTAACAGAGCTCAGTTCAGATTCCACCTGTACCTCTCAGCTATGTGACCTGGGACTGATTAATCTCCCCGTGCCTCAGTTTCTCTAACTCCATATGAGCATAATCCTACTTCCCAAGCCTGCGTTGTCAAGAGGGTTAAATGAGAAAACCCATACAAGTGTCCAAGTGGGTAGGTAGGTCCCTCCCTCTCTCTTTTTGTTTTTTGTTTGGTTTTTTTTTTTTTTTTTGGTCTTTTTGAAGCAGGGTCTCCCTGTAGCCCCAGCTGCCCTGGAACTCACTATGTAGACCAGGCTGGCCTTGAACTCACAGAGATCCATCTGCCTCTGCCTCCCGAGTGCTGGGATTAAAGGTGTGCGCCACCACACCCTGCTCTCTTTGGCTTTTTTGTTTGTTTGCTTTCTGAGACAGGATCTCACTACATAGCCCTGGCTGGCCTAGAGCTCTCTATGTAGACCAGGCTGACCTGGATCTCACAGAGATCTGCGTAGGATTAAAGGTGTGTGCCCCTCACTCGCTACTTTTTTTTTTTTATATAGCATCTCATGTGCCCCAGGCTACCCTCAAACTTGCTTTTGTAGCTGAGTATGGCCTTGAGCTCCTGATCCTCCCACCTCAGCCTCTCAGATGCTGGAATTACAGGTGTGTGTCACCACACCTTGCTCCTGGGTCACTTCTTGGTGGCTCTCCACCAGGAGGATGGGCCCTTATTTGAAACTCCTAGATTTGATGTTCTAGATGTGGCCCTGGTAGCCTTTTAGCTCTATGAGGCTATGGGACCACTGGCCATTTTTAGGGAAAAAAAATTAAAACATGTAAACTTTAAATGAAATATGTAAACAGTACATGAAAACTATTCTCACAGAATGAAAACATCAATGAATACATAAAATCAAAGTACCTGAAAAATATCTGAGAATCACTTTGTGACCTTGAGGGGCCAGAGGCCTTTCTACACACAACACAAAGCCTAGAAGCCATTGAGGAAAAGGCTGACATCCAACACACAAAACTTTAAAACAAATTTTATCCATGGAAAAAGACATCATCAATGATAGAGAGGAAATATTTGCAAACACACTGATCAGTAAGGGTTTAATATCCGTTAACACAGATTCTGAAAATCAGTGAGAAAAGACACAAACCCTGTAGACTATCAGATGACAATGAATGACAGAAGAAATAAAAGTGGCCAATAAGCCGGGTGTGATGGGTGGTGCACACCTTTAATCCCATCACTCCACTCGGAGCCAGAGACAGGCCTGGTCTCCATAGCGAATCCAGACCAGCTGTGGCTACAGGGAGACCCTGTCTCAAAAAGACCGAAAAAAAAATGCCAATAAACACACAGACAGTCCCTATTGGATTAAAGAAAAGAAAATTAACCAAGATACCCTTTGTCAACCAGACTGGCAAAATTATGGGGCTCTTTACAGCCTCTGCTCTTGGCAGAGAGCTTGGGGCACAGTTGGGTGCTGCACATGGGGCACGACCTGGTGCAACCTTGACTGAGGTCAGGTTGGCAGTCTCTGTCCTAACTTGGGATGTGCATCACTTTTGCACCAACGATCACACTTCCAAGAATCTCCTCTCCAGAAATTCTGGCCCAAGTGTGTGGATACAAAGACGTTCAAGATGCATGGTGGATAATTACAGCACAACTTGGGACCAATCTATTTTGCCATCAGCAGAAGGATGCAGAGGTAAATGGGTGGCCAGCCACACAGGGTGAGCTAGGGTAGGGACACCACAAGTGGAGGTAGGGTGCTTCCTTAGCACATGTAAGCCCTGGGTTCCATCCCCAGCAACACAAAACAAACAAGTAAATAAACAAATAAGGAGTGCTACATGGCAAGTTGTGTGTGATAAGGGGTTTGGCAGGTGTGAGATGTAGGTCAGCGGTAAGGCACTCACCTAGCATAAACAAGGGCCTGGGTTCAATACTCAGCATCACAGAAAACTGAAAAACCAGGGCATGTTGGCTCACCCCTGCAATCCCAGCACTCTGGGGACTAAGACACGAAGATTGACACAAGTTTGAGGCCAGCCTGGGCTACATAGTGAGTTCCCAACCAGCCTGAGCTAACGTGAGACCTGCCTCCAAAAAAAGAAAGTAAATAATGGCCAGGTGTGGTGGCCCGTGCCTTTAATCCCAGCACTAGAGAGGCAGAGGCAGGCAGATTTCTGTGAGATTGAAGCCAGCCTGGTCTACATAGTGAGTTCCAAGCCAGCTACAAAGAGACCGTATCTCAAAAAGACCCCCAAAAAAGTAATAATAATAAAAAATAACAAAATGAACCAACGATTGTTTAAATACATACATGAGTTTGCAAGAAATGGAAGCCCCCAAGTACCAGAAACAGCTTCAGGAGCCCAGTGTGGTGGCACATTCCTGTAAGCCTGCAATCAAACCCAAGGAACACGTGGGAGGCACATTCAAGGGTCCAAGGCAAGAGAGTCAGGAGCTCAACACCAACCTCAGCTATAGAGTGATTCTGAGGCCAGTGTGGACTGCATGAGACCCTGTCTCAAAAAAAGAAAGGAAAAGGAGGAGGTAGAAACTTAGGGCTGCTTAAAAATTCTACAAATGCTATCAATGGTGCTCACTTTCAATTCTAGCACTCTGGAGGCAGAGGCAGGCAGATTTCTGTGAGATTGAAGCCAGCCTGGTCTACATAGTGAGTTCCAAGCCAGCTACAAAGAGACCGTATCTCAAAAAGACCCCCAAAAAAGTAATAATAATAAAAAATAACAAAATGAACCAACGATTGTTTAAATACATACATGAGTTTGCAAGAAATGGAAGCCCCCAAGTACCAGAAACAGCTTCAGGAGCCCAGTGTGGTGGCACATTCCTGTAAGCCTGCAATCAAACCCAAGGAACACGTGGGAGGCACATTCAAGGGTCCAAGGCAAGAGAGTCAGGAGCTCAACACCAACCTCAGCTATAGAGTGATTCTGAGGCCAGTGTGGACTGCATGAGACCCTGTCTCAAAAAAAGAAAGGAAAAGGAGGAGGTAGAAACTTAGGGCTGAACCTACATGAAGCTAAAGCCTCTGGGTTTTGATTTTTTTTTTTTTTTTTGTCTTTTTGAAGCAGGGTCTCCCTGTAGCCCCAGCTGTCCTGGAACTCACTATGTAGACCAGGCTGGCCTTGAACTCACAGAGATCCACCTGCCTCCTCCTCCCAAGTGCTAGGACTACAGGCATGCGCCACCACGCCCGGCTTGTTTTGTTTTTTTTTTAAGGTGTATATAATATGTTAAGTGCATGTATGTTGTATGTTAAATGCATCCATGCATGCAATGCCTTCAGAGGTCAGAAGAGGGCATTGGATCCTCTGAAACTAGAGTTACAGACTCTTGTTAGTCACCATGTGGGTGCTGGGAATCAAACCCCAGTTCTCAGCAAGAGCAGTCAGTGCTCTTAACCTCTGGGCCATTTCTCCAGTCCCCCTCTGGGGTTTTAAGGGGGCTGGGTCTTTACCCAATGAATACAGAAGAAACAAAAAACACCCACCAGCCTGGGGAGAAAACACAGAACTGGGCTGCTTCTGCCTGAGTTCTAGGAGAAGAAACACAGCCCCAGCAGCGCCACACTCACAGGTGAATCCTGTTTGTCCATGAACTATACTTCAGACCAAAATCCGTATCTGTGTCAGTGTAAGGAAAAGATTAGAAGGACACTAGGCGTCACCACGCCTGTGATCCTAGCTCTTGGGAAAATAAGGCAAGATGGCTTTGAGTCTCAGGCCAGCCTGGGCTAGAAAATAAGTTCAGGCTAGCCTGGGCTAGCATGAGAACCTGTCTCAGTATACAGACATTGCCCAGCTATCAACATTGATTCCATCTACCAGAGGAAGAGGAAGAGAACTCTTACTTTACCATTTTTTTTGTGTGTAGGGGGTGGTTTGTTTGTTTGTTTGTTTTAGAAACAGGGTCTCACTGTGTAGCTCTGGCTGCTCTGGAACTCTTGCAGACCAGGCTGGTCTCAAACTCACAAAGATTTGCCTGCCTCTGCCTCCAGAATGCTGGGATTTTAGGTGACCACCACCTTGCCCAATTCATGCAGTGCTGGGGGACTTAACACAGGGCTTCGTGAATGCTAGGCTGGCATTATATCAACTAAGACACATCCCCAGCTCCAAAACAACACAGTTTTGAAATACAGGTCACATTTAAAAATAAATTGACCTGGGATGGACTGTAAATTTTGATTGGGTTTTTGTCTTCTCAGCAAAAATGGGGCATAAACATGGTTGCAGGGGACACATTTAACCTACTTCAGAGAACCAGCTGTTTTTCTAAACTGTCAGCATATGAATTGTGGAAAAGCAAGTGGGTGCTGCTAATTATGGCCTTTCTTATCTATTCATTAAATCTAAGCCACTTAGGGGCTCAACTTGCTCACAGTTTGGTCAGCTTGGAACTCCACAAATAAAACAGCATATAAAACAGCATTCACTGGGGCTGGAGAGATGGCTCAGTGGTTAAGAGTACTGACTGCTCTTGCGGAGGACCCAGGTTCAATTCCCAGCATCCACATGGTGGCTACAAACCGTCCTTAACTCCAGTTTCTGGGGAATCCGAAGCCCTCTTCTGATCTCCGTAACGCTGCACAACATGGGTGCACTCACATAACATGCAGGCAATACACTCATACACATAAAATAATAAAATATTTTTTAAAAAAACAGCATTCATGTAGCCATGGTACCCCATCTGTTAGAACTAGCAAGGTAACAATGCCCCCTTGGCTCTCACCCCCGAATATCACAGCCCCACCCAGTGGACAGCTTCCCAGGCACATGCAGAAACTGGAGTCTGTGGGGAAGTAGGCTGGGGCCTTCCCTCCCCACACCCAGGCATCAGCCCTCCTCACTGGTTTTGGTCCAGATCCCCAAAGGCGCTCAGATAAGGGAAGTTGCCCCGGATGATCTGGAACTCTTCCTGTGAGATGTGGCCATCCCCATCGACGTCAAAGTTCCGGAACACAGACTACAGAGGGGCACATGGGGCCAGGAGAGGGGAAAATTAAAAGGAACCTCAGAGCCCAGTCTGTATCATGAAGCGTGTCAGGGATGTCTCCCCAGCACCCTTTTCAGTTCCATCTCCCTGGCCATTCATGGAGCTAGCTTGCTATGTGTGCTGTGTCTCTGGGGACAGACACAGCACTGGCCCTTAAGACCAAGCTCTAGCCATGGTTCCCAGGGCAGGGTTCCTGGGAAACCTGCTGCACAGACCTCCACTTCCAGTGACAGACTCCTCCCCACTTGGCCCAGCCTCCAGAACTCACCTCCACCATCTTCTCAATGTGTTCTGCCACCAGGGCCTGATCCAGCTTGGGCTTGGCAGCCGAGGTCCATTCTTCCAGCACTGGGGGCCTGGGAGGTGGGGTACAGCTGGTAGGGCTGGTTGGCTGTGGAAAGAATCAGGTCTGAACTAATGCCAGAGCAGGAAGGAGCCCAGGACCCCAGTAAACAGAGAGAGGAAGCCTGCCCAAGGCTACTGCAGACAGATGAATGTGGAAGCTTTGGAGGGCTCTTGCTGTCCTCACACCCTAGGATTCTTTTTTAGCTTTATTTTTATTTATGTGTATGTATGTGTGCCTGCTTGTCTGTATGTGCTCCACAGGTGTGCAGTACCCTCAGAGACCAGAAGAGGGTGTTGAATCCCCTGGAACTGGAGTTACAGGAGGTTGTATACCACCATGTGGGTGTTGGGATCCAGACCCGAACTCAGGTCCTCTGGAAGTAGAGCAAGTCCTCTTAATCACTGAGCCATTTCTCTAGCCCCATCACCCTGGGATTCCCAAGTACAAAATGGGGTGGGTCAGGGCCCCTCCCTTACCGAGGACTTTGAGCGTGGCTCCCGCTGCAGGGACAGCTGGTACAACTCATCCTCTGTCTGATACTGATCCAGGGACACCTGGGACACACAGGTCTGGTCACAACCTCTGGCCTTGCTGCCCTCTTACACAGGTACCTCAAGCTCAGGACTGTTAGGCTATCTGAAGGGTATCACTCAGCCCAGAGCCTGATGCAAAAACTAGACTCTGTACAAAGTCCAGCTTAGAAGACACCTCAATAACCCCACACCCGCCAGCACAGCACAGATCACAGCTTGGCCCAAACTTTGAACACAATGCACTGCCAAAATGTCAGCCACAGGGCTAGCCCTGTGCTGCGTAATCCATCTAGTATTCAGCTCAGATTTTAACCCTATCCCATCCATGTCTGGAAGCTGAGAGCCCACAAATCCTTCAAATCTAAGGCCCAGCTCAGGTTGTCTAGCTCTGGCCGAGAACCTACTCTAGGCATCTAGACTAAGCACAAGCCAAAAATCAGAGCTTTGCTCAATGCTGGGCATAGTGCCTATAATCCTAGCATTTAGGAGGCTCAAGAAAGATGAGAACTGCCACAAGTTCAAGGTCAAAATAGGCTCCCTATGAGTTTGAGCCAGCCTGGGCTGCCAAGTAGATCCTAGCTCCAAAAGCAAACAACAGTAACAACAAAAACCAAAACAATTAAATAAAAAAGAAAGCTTTTAAAAAAAAATTCACAGCTTGGTCTCAACCTTTGATTATAACCTACTGTCAGAAACTCAACCCAGGACCTGAGACCCAGGCCCAGTCTCAAATCCAGCCTATGGCCCATATAGCAGCCTCAAGATAGGACCACTGGCCTGTGTCCCCAAAGCTTGGAACTATCTTAGAGTTCACTGTAACCCTCGGAGCCCAGGCTGGCCCTCAGTCCCTTGGGCGGAAGCCAACAAGCCCACAGCCACAGCAGGTACAGCTACCACATCATGCCCAGCCCCTCACCGTGAGCAAGCTCAGCAGATCCGGGTTGGCCTGCACTGGTGGCCGAAGGCTGGTCACCATGGCCAGCTCCTCCAGGATGCTGAAGAGCTGCCTCATCTTGGCCCCATTGAGTTGGGTCCGGGCCGGGTCCAGCCAGTCAGGCAGGGCCAGCTGCAGGGCCACTAGGTCCTTGAGGTGGACACCCAAGATAGGGAAGCGGAAGCCCACACAAGCTGCCAGTCTACGCCGGTAGTTGCCATAGTTGCCTGTGGCTGTTACGAGTTCTGTCAGACCTTCCCAGAGCTAGAGAGCAAAGGGCAGAGTGTCACTCACACCACTCACCACTCACCCATCATCCCCACCTCAGCCCTGGAACTAAGGGAAAAGATGGGGGGGGTAGGTCAAAGATAGGTGAAAAGATGCACTCGTGTGTGTGTGTGTGTGTGTGTGTGCGTGTGTGTGTGTGCGTGTGTGTGTTTGCTTATACTACGGCACTTGTATGGAGGTCAGAAGACAATTTTCAGGAGTCAGTTCTCTCCTTCTACTATGTAGGTTCCAGGGATTGAACTCAGGTTACTGGCCCCCAACACTGCTCTCTCAAGCTCTAGGGACCAGAGTTCATAGGTTGTAAGTCCAAGAAAACAGCTAAGACCAAATACCACACATGTACACCAGGCCTGAGCACAGGTCATCAACGTTTAAGCACAGGCCTATTGACTGAGAAGGACATTCTTAGGCCAGATGTTTGGTAATGACAAAAAGTGGAAGAAAAAAAAAACCAACAGGCTGAACCTGGTTGCACTGGTCTGTAATCCCAGCACTGGGGAGGCAGAGGCCGAAGGATGGTTGTAAATTCAAAGCCAATGCAATCTATATGGTCAGTTAGTCCAGCTGGGACTACGAAGTAAGACCAGTCCAAAAAAAAGGGGGGGGGGAGAGAGGAAGAACACAAGAAAAAGAAAAGAAAATCCTGGGCTGGAGATATAGGTGCTGGTAGATTGCTTATCTAGCACATGCAAAGCCATGCGTTTGACCCCCCAGCATCACACACAAACCAGGCATGGTTGGTGCACACCTGGAATCTTCAGGAATACAAGGTTACTCTTAGCTACACAGCAAATTCAAGGATAGTATAGAATACATCCTGTCTCAAAAAAAAAAAAAGGAAAGGAAAGAAAGGAAAGGAAAGAAAGAAAAGAAAAGAGGGCCAGTGTTATGACTGAGTGGATAAAGTCACTTGCTGCCAAGCCTGATGACCTGAGTTCAATCCCTGGGTGGTAAAAAGAGAGAATCAGCTCCCAAAAGCTGTCCTCTGACCTCCATACAAGCACTGTGCTCAGAAATCAAACATACACAAACACATACACACACACACACACACACACACACACACACACGCACAAAGTAATGACTCCACAGAGTAAATGAATTCATTAAGAAGAAAAGCTCCAAGTGTTCAACAGCACAACCAATTCATCCATTAGGATGGACTTAGAACAGTGTGAGACAACGAAAATGAATGATTGCCCCACACAGCAGGAAGAAAAGCCTCTAACACGATAAAGTGGAATGAAGGAGCGAGACTCAAAATCACACGAGTCTACTCAGAGGAAGTTGGAAATAGTCAGCAAAAAGCGCCAGTGTTGTTTAGGGATGCACACATGAAGTTAGATGCTAGGAAGAAAAGCAGCACCTAAAAGTCGCTATCACGCCACCATGTTCAGCTTGATTTATTTTTATTTTATATGTATGAGTGTTTTCTCTGCATGTATATGTGCTCGTGCCTGCAACACCCACAGAGGCCAGAAGAGGGTGCCAGAGTCCCTGGAACTACAGTTACAGGTGGTTGTTTCCCACTACGTGGGTGCAAGGGCAGTCAATGCTCCAAACCAATGAGTCATCTCTCCAGTGCCCCCCAACCCCCCCCTTTTTTTGCCTCATGCTAGAGTCAGAGCCCAGGGACTTTCTGCATACAAGGCAAGTACACTACAACTGAGCTATACTCTAGTCAAAGTTTTGTTCGTTTGTTTGTTGAGACAAGGTCTCACTCTATAGCTCTAGCTGGTACTCACTATGTAGACCAGGCTGGCCTCGAATTCAGAGATCCACCTGCCTCTGCCTCCCAAGTGCTGGGAACTAAAGGCATGTGCTACCATGCCCGGCATGACCTAATATCTTTTTACCTAAAAATATTTCATTATTTGGCAGGACGTGGTGGCGCACACCTTTAATCCCAGCACTTGGGAAGCAGAGGCATGTGGATCTCTGTGAGTTCGAGGCCAGCCTGGTCTCCATAGTGAATCCAGGACAGCTGGGGCTACAAGGAGACCCTGTCTCAAAAAGACCAAAAAAAACATTTTTTTTCATTATTTTTATTTTATGTGTATGAGTGTATTGCATTGGATTCCTTGGAACTGGAGTTATGGACGGCTGTTAGCCATCATGTGGGTGCTGGGAATTAAACTGGAGTTCTCTGGAAGAGTAGCTCTTAACCACTGAGCCATCTCTCCAGCCCCCATTAAAAGAAAGAGGAGTGAAGCTAGGTGTAGTGAGGCATGCTTTTAATCAGAGAGAGAGAGAGAGAGAGAGAGAGAGAGAGAGAGAGAGAGAAGAGAATCTTTGTGCAATTGAGGACAGGCTGGGGTCTACATAGTAAGTTTCAGGCCAGCTGGGGCTATAGGGAGACACTGTCTCAAAAAAAAAAAGGGGGGGGGAAAGAAAGAAAAGAAAGAGAAGGATGCTGGGAGAGGACTCAGACAGTAGCGTCTGCCATACAAGCAGGAGGAGTGCTGGCTTCTGGTCCCTGGTACCCACATAAAAGCCTAAGGGTAACCCTAGTGCCAAGGGAGTGGAGACAGATGGATTGCTGGAACTCACTGGCCACCCAGTCTAGTCAGATAGAACTCTGGGTCCAGTAAGAAACACAACTCAAAAAGATTAAGATAGGGCTGGAGAGGTGGCTCAGGGTTAAGAGCACTTGCTGCTCTTCCAGAGAACCTGAGTTCACTTCCCAGGACCCACATCAGGAAGCTCACAACTACCTAGAACTCCAGCTCCAAGGGATCCATATGGCCTCCACAGGTACCTTAAGAAATGCAGTGCTCACATACATAGACATATGCATAAATAAAATTTAAGTCAAGTAGATATTTTTTTTGGTCTTTTTGAGACAGTGTCTCCCTGTAGCCCCAGCTGTCCTGGAACTCACTATGTAGACCAGGCTGGCCTTGAACTCACAGAGATCTGCCTGCGTCTGAGTGCTGGGATTAAAGGTGTGCGCCACCACGCCCAACAATAAATTTTTTTTTTTTCGGAGCTGAGGACTGAACCCAGGGCCTTGCTTGCTAGGCAAGTGCTCTACCACTGAGCTAAATCCCCAACCCCTAAATTATTTTTTTAAAGATGAGAAGGGGCTGGAGAGATGGCACAGCAGTTAAGGGCACTGGCTGCTCTTTCAGAGGACAGAGTTCAGTTCCCAGCACTCACATAGTTACAACCACTGTAACTTGACTTCCAAAAGATCCAATGCCCTCTTCTGGCCTCCTCAGGCACTGTACCCCTATAATGTACTTACATACATGTAAGCAAAACACAAACATAAAACATAAATAAACAAACAATTAAAAGATCTCCACAAGTGAATATTTGTGTTTAAAAAAAAAAAGATATAGAGTGAGCTGGGGATGGTGTTGCACACCCTTAATCCCAGCACTCAGGAAGCAGAGGCAGATGGATCTCAGTGAGTTCCAGGTCAGCCTGGAATACATGAGTTCTAGGTCAGCCAGGGCTAAACAGTGAGACTCTGTCTCAAAAAACAAAACAACAACAGTAACAAAAGATGGAGAGTGACGGAGAAGGACACCAGTGTGAAACTCTGATCTCCACATGCATACCCACACATGTGCATGCACACCCCCATGCACATGTGCACACACACATAAAATATAATTTTTTAAATATATAAGAAATGATTTTTGGACCAGGCAGGCCTGGGGGCCCACCAATGCCACTGGCATCACTCAATCTAGAAATGTTCCTAACCCCTCCTCCAAGCCTCAGTTTCCTCAACGGTCAAGACAGTCATGCCCAGCCCCCCAGCATTGCACAGGGAAGCTGAGGCTGAGAAGCACAGGGCCCTCCCATCCCAGGCACCTTGATGGTCTCAGGGCTAACGTGGTTGTGGGTCTCCTTGAGGCGCGAGATGGAGCTGTGACTCAGGCCGCCGACCACGGCCATCAGAGTGTTGAAATTCTGCAGCTGCAGCAGCTTCTGGGAGGCAAACCAGGAAGGGGAAGCCAGTGACCCAGTGGCCCTTCCAGAGAGGAGGCAGATGCAGGTGGGTACAGAGGAGGGGCTGGGCCTGCTGGTCAAAGGGAGGCATGAGCACAAAGGGAGGGCGGGCACCTCTGCCACGTGCACAAAGTGTGTGATGACCAGAGCCCGCTGCGGGGCTGTGGGCTTGCTGAGGATCATGAGCTGGACCCACTGCGATACGCTGTTGAAGAGAGAGATGAACCGCTCCAAGACAGGGTTGTCTACGGTGCAGCCGTGAGTCACAAAGCTGTGGTAATCCTGGAACTGGGGGCAGTTGGGGATGACCTGAGTGCCCTGCTGGCCTCTTTCCTCACCAGTGGCCTTGCTCACCCTCCAGCTGTCCTTTGCTGGAACCTCCCAGCCAGCCCAGGGAGCCAGCCTGCCCCCAGAGACCTTTCCCTTCCTGGCACCCCCTTCCCAGATCACACTGGACTAGACCCCAACCACAAAGCTCTCAGGTCACACCAGGATCTTGCAGAAGGAGCGATACTCCAGGTAGGTGAGGTGTTCTGCCAGCTCCATGGGCTCCAGGTGGTCAAACAACAGGGACATCTTGCGCTTTTTCTGTCCCACGGGGTTCCGCTGGGTCACCTGCCGCTTCCACTTGTAGGTGGGGCTGGGGGAGCAGGGGTAGAGAGCCCTGTGCTGGAGATGTTCCTGGTCTCCTGTGGTCCCCGCACTCACACAGCCATGTCACTCAAACTGACTGGGGACCTACATGACAGGAGCCACCATCCTAGGCACTAATGTCCCCGAATCCCAACAACTCCTCCACATGTCCCCCTCGCCACGCACTCAAGACACACTTATGGACAACGTACTCTGTGCCAGGCACTGTGCTAGGCGCTGGGATACAGAGATGAGCAAGATACGGTTCCTGCCCTCGAGGAGCTCACAGTCTACTGGGGGAGACAGACACAGAAACACACCATCACCAAACAGTGGGACGCAAGTTCCCAGGGCTCTGGACAGGAATCTGTGCAAAGCACCATGGGAAAACACAGGAGGTCACGGCAAATTCTGCTCTGAAGAGTGCCACACCCTCACCAGGCAGGTACTTGGGCTGAGTCTCAATGAGAATGGAGGAAGGAGACAGGGCAAGGACAACAGCGAGCACCATGGAGGGGAAGGAAGGTGAGTGGCCTCAGTATGAAGTGTGTGGGATGCTCGGTGGGCTATGGGAGATAAGACAGGAACATCAGACGGGGGCCTGACACCACAAAAGACGTTAATAGCCAGACAGGTGTTTGGAAGGTGATAGGGAGCCATGGAAGGTTTTAAAGCAAGAGAGTGACATGACCCTCACTCATTCAATTCAACATTTATTAGGCACAGATGGTATAGGATGCTGAGTGGCCCCCTCCGAGCTTCCCCCACGCACACGCTCTCGATGTCGATGAGGCTGCTGTGGCGGCGGTTCCCTTCTTGATCTAGCAGAGCCTTCAGCTCCTTGATCTGCTCAGCCAGTTCAGGGTTCAAGTCAAACTCTGCTGGGAATGCTGAGATCCAATACCTAGGAAGGGGTAGAGTCACCTACGGCAGCCCTCCTTCCTCCACCATCCCCAAGTGAGTAAGGGAAGGAACCACTGGTTTCCTTCAAAGAGAGGGGTCCTCCCTCTCCCAGCTCTCCTTCTCTGAGGTTACAGGGACACCCCTACCCTCCATCCCACCCCAGCAGCTAAAACAAGAAGGCAGACAGCACGCTAAAAGATGCGGCAGGCTGGCAAACCCACCTGACCCCTGGAGGTGCTGTCCAATCCTGCAGCCCATCTGAGGCCTGAGAAAAGGGACAAAAGGCAGGGCCAGGGCCCAGAGACTCACCTGACCAGGTGACACGTTTTCACCTGCAGGGAATTGGAGTTGTCCTTCCGGGATTGTTGGTAGGTAAAGGAGGGTTAAGGACAACAGGATGGAACCTAAGTCTAGGAACAGAGAACAAGGGGTGTGGCCTAAGCACTGAAGGGGCAGGGCCTGGGCTTTGAGACGGGATCCTTTGAACTCCTGACCTGCCCTGGGTTCCAGGAGGATGCTGTGGGTGAGCCAGGAGCTCTGGGAGAAGACGTGAAGAGGGCTGAGTTCTACCAGAGGCTGGGAGAAGGGCCTAGCCTCAGAGTGGAGCAAGAGGCCCAGGACAGGATAGAAGCAGCTCTAGCACTCAGAGGAGAGTAAGGGCAAGGCCTAGGCCCCTGAAGAGTTCCAAGTGATCAGGGAGGGAGAGGGCGGAGCCTAGGCCCTAGAAAGGGCCAGAGGCAGTGCCTGAATTCTGGAATATAGGCAGGGCCTGCACGCTAGCTCAAAGGCTCTGAACATGCCCAGCACATTCTCAGCTTGGGCTGGGCAGCAGGGCCAGCTCCGCAGACCCAGGACAGCGGGGCCTCAGTCATGCCTGCTAAGGATATATGCGGAGCAGTTTTGCAGCCAGCTGAGAGGAAGGGATGTACCAGGGATGCATCATGAGGAACATGCGCACCAGCTGCGGGTCCCGCACCTTTCCCGAGTCATCTGCTCCGAAAAGTCAGAGAGAAGCCGGCTGACCCTTGGTCCGAGGGCTCCGGATCTCTTAAGCCTGGTCTGCAGCCTGGGCCAGGTGTCAGGTCCCCTAGGGTCGCACTCCTGTCCCCGCCCACCCACTGCTTCCCCAGCACTCCAAAACCAGGAGACTAATTTTGAGAAAGGAGTCAGGGTGGGAGAAGGGGTCCAGCAGGATCCAGGAACTGGAGGAGGGGCGCTCCGACCAGGTCCATCGTCTGGAGGGGAACCAGCTGGGGCGGAAGGAGCCTGGGTTCCCCCGGGTCAAGAATCCAGAGGTCATTTCCTGAGCGCTGGGGGAAGGGGCACCCCTTCACCAGATAAACCAACCCCCATCTACCGGAAACAGCTCCCAGGCTGGAGATAGAGTTCCTCCGGATCCTCCAGGGACACAGATAATGCCCCTCCCGGGTCAGGGTTGGGACACCAGCCCTGCCTTCCCCTCGGGCTCGGGAAGACTTAGGTAAGGGGGACATTTAGGCACCTCTCTGGGATGGAGAGGGGCTTTCATTGAGACTACGGGATGCAAGCCCTGGGTGGGTCCTGGCCAGGGATCTGTCCTAGGAGGGTAGAGCCCGGGGCTGGGCTCAGGATCAAGCTCGGGCTTGGTTTTACTCCCTCGTGCCTCGACTCACCAAAGGCTTCGATGCAGCCTCGGAGCAGCTCCTCCACCGTGCAGCCCTTGTCCAGGTCTAAGGTGTTCGCCATGGCCGCTGGAGCCGGTGGGCTGGACCCAAGCTACCTCTCCGAGAGCCTCCCGCGGGGCTCGGACTCGACCCCTGTCCCGGGAGAGGCAAGTGTGGGAGTCTGCGGAGGCGCGCACGGGAAGCGCCCCGGGTGCAGGAACGGGGCGGGGCGGGCACGCCCCCTGCTGGGCAGGGGCGGAGTTG